AAGACTTTTCAATGATATGTTAACAAGAACTCCACCGTTTCAAAAATATGTTTTTATTTTATTATCGCGAACCTTATGCAGGCGGTTTGAGATCAAAGGACGGCGAGGTCCATACGAGTTCCAAAAAATGGGAGTGTTTAAGTTTCTATCTATTAGCGCTGTGCATCGAAGCAGAATGGAAGTGAGGTTTTATATGACATGAGGTTTTGTCATCCGACAGTTTTCTGATAAAGAAAAAATTATATGATATGAGGCTTTGTCATCCAACAGTTTTGTGATAAAGACAAAATTGTCATGTAGGATGACATATAAACGATGCTAATTTGACGTTCAATTTGCAAGTTACAATACTTTTGGGAATGCTATCGTTATCGCTCTCAAACTAATGTGAAAATCGGATTTTCAACCCTATATTCTCGCAAACGATCCTCTTTGTATTTGCGTTCGAAGATGACTCTGCATTAAAAATTGTTTATGATAAAGTATTTATCATTATTAATACGCGACTTCGTTCAACTATGCAGCTCCCACTGAATGAAAGGACTCTTGTTTGCTTCTCTATATCTTCGTCTATTCTAGGCCACCAAATTTAGGACCTAGCTAAAATCTTTGCTTTAATACTGACTTTACATCTTCACATTTAGATGCATGTAACTCTTTAGAAGTCTTCCGAAGTGAACTCAGCAGCTGTGTGGAAAATAACCGGCGGAAACTAAAACAAATATTCTTTTAAATGTTTTCCATAAATAAAGTAGTTTACACAAATGTTTTCACCAAGGTCTAATTCCTTATATCACTTTCCATCAGAGATATTTTCCGCATGTTTAGCTCCTTCCGGGGCTTGCTGAAGTAAGCGCCATTTAACTAACAAAATATGTGTTTAAATATGTTCCGATATTTTTGAGTAAATATTAAATATAATTCACCTTTTTTAAAACTTCTATATCTTTGATCCAATAACCACAAGAACGATAACAGTGGAAAAGTTGGCAATAATTATGACCGATACATAATTCGCAATTCATGAGAGCTGAAATGTGAGTACATCATTCCCATCTTTCCGCACAAGTTGAAAAGTTATTTGTATCTCAACTAACAACAGCAATGGCAGCAATAGCAATGTATCGATTATGATCATAATGATTATTAGTGAAATCATAATGATTATTAACATTCGGAGTAGCAGCAGGAGTTTGTAAATTTAACATTTTGCCATTTGCAACACACACACACAGACAAATATACATACATTTCTGACAAGATACAGTATCTGACAGGAGGCATAAGCAACGCAGTGACAAAGCAAGTTCGAAATTGTTGTACGCAGTACGTAACCGCACTGAAAATGTACTTATGAGTCAATGGAGCGCAGTGTGTACACATGATGCTTTTATCTGTAGCAAACGTAAAGCGCTAAAAGATACAGTGATGATAACTGATTGGTCGGGAGAAATTTGCAGTTACAGTTCAATGAAATAGAAATGGAAATATGGATGCATCAATCTTATGAGTGTGCGGTATTTGATTAGTAACTGATAAAATGTAGCATCCTAGCTGGAATGGTTCAAGAAACCACACTATGGATTACAGAATAAAACAAGTAAAAATTTGTCGTACAAATAACTTTTTCTCCTCTTTCCCTTAGTGAGGAATGTATTTTGAACTTTGAGCAGAACGAAAAATACTGGCACATATCAAGTTAAAGTATTTATAAGGCGATAATGCAATTCATGTTCTGCAGACGCACTGAAATACATCTCCCCTTGTATGTGCAAGAATGCTTCAATAATAAATCTACATTAAAGACGAACCTGCTTTTAAACAGTAGATACTGTTACATAGTTTCACAAAATTTATAAGCTGGAGAAGTTACTTAGTCTTTAAGTAAAATTCCATATTTGCTTATTTTTTATTATTTTATAAAATATTATTTATTTTACAAACAATTGTTTGTTTGTTCATTGAATCCAAGTCGTATGACAAAATATATTAAAACTCTTAATAAGACAAAAGAAAAAAGGTTGTAACAAAAGAAATGTAAAATTTTATGTACTAATGAATATATTATCTTTAATTTACTATACCAAAAAATTGTATCGTCAGCTTGTATGTTGTAGAAATCATATTCAGTGTAATATAAAAGTATTTACTAATATTCATCTGAGCAATAACTTGTTCAAAATCAAAATTAAAATATAATTACTTATCGGTCGGAAATCGCCACACTTATGCGAGTCTTGTGATTAGACTTATTAAAATTGAAATTTAATTTTCTTTCCATTAAAGAAAGAAATTGAAATTTCATTTTCTTTCCATTAAGGAAAGTAAAGTGAAAAAAGCTTTTAATTAGAAAAAAAATTAATATTTAAAAATTTACCTAAATCACATAAAAAATTCATTACATTAACCATTACACACATATTCGTCTACCGTGTCCAGTAGCCTCCATCAGCCAGCTCGATCAGTTGCTTGTTGTCGTCAGTTGGTAGTACCGAGTGCTTTCATATAATTTATCTCTTGGTCCTTCCACTGAAGTTTTGGATATCCTCTACCGCGTCTTCCACCTTTTTTTTTTTTTTTTTTTTTTTTTTAACGATTCTTCAAATAAAGACAAAAATCGTTTTAATATTGCACCTAGTACAAATAACAAAAAAAAGGTACTAATAAGCAATTTTATTTGAATATTTAATGTAAAAAAAAAATGAAGCTATTTTGCTACTCGCTGTCCATTAAGTCTGCCACTGTTTTCCTTTTTAGCCGTCTAGATACTGCAACCACCTGGAGAAGACTGGATGCTGTAACGTTGACATGTGTTTTCAATCGCTGTTTGTGAGCAATGGCACACCTTTTTGCCACGACGTCGACTGTTGGTATGTCAAGGTCACGGTGGAGATCACTGTTTCTAATGTAATATGGAGCATTTACGATGCATCGTAGTACTTTATTTTGAAAGCGCTGGATAGTTGCAATGTATTTCTTGCTGGCACAACCCCAGAACTGTATGCCATAACTCCAAGCCGGCTTTAGTATTTGATTGTAGACCATTAGTTTGTTGTGGATTGCCAGTTTAGAGCGCCTGCCTATGAGGTGATAAAATTTCTTTAGTTTTAGGTCAAGCTCTTCTCGTTTTTTCTTAACATGCGCTTTCCAGCGCAGCTTGGCGTCAAGCGTAATGCCCAGATATTTGGCTTCGTTGGCGTGTGGAATTTTTGTGGCATCGATATGAATTGGAATATGGTTATAATTTCTCAATGAGAAGACTATATGTACTGATTTTTCCTTATTGAGCTTAATTCTCCATTTTTTTGCCCATGAAGCAATTTGATTGACTGTGTGTTGCAGATTAGCCGTCGCGTCTTCTATATTGTTTTCGATTGCTAGAACCGCAGTATCGTCTGCAAATGTTGCTGTAACTAGTTGGTTTGCAGAGGGTAAGTCGTGTGTATACAGAAGATATAGAATGGGCCCAAGAATGCTCCCCTGCGGGACGCCTGCGCTAATCTTCTTTAGTGCTGAATGTGCATCTTCATATTTAACACTGAAGTACCTGTCGTTTAGATACGATGATAGCAGCTTACAGTATTGTATGGGCAATAAT